GCAGATGGATTTAATCGTGGCCGTTCTTGCTAAAACAGCAACAACACGCACGCACACACGCGCACACAGACACACACACACACACGCTCACACACACGCTCACACAGACACACACGCTCACTCACTCACTCACTCACTCACTCACTCACTCACTCACTCACTCACTCACTCACTCACTCACTCACTCACTCACTCACTCACTCACTCACTCACTCACTCACTCACTCACTCACTCACTCACTCACTCACTCACTCACTCACTCACACACACACACACGCACACAGACACACACAGACACACGCGCACACAGACACACACACACACACACGTGCACACAGACGCACACTCACACGACGCACACACACACACACAGCGCATTGAAGTATTAATGCATTGTGTGAGTACGTAGTATTAATGGTCACACTTGACAACAAGATTCCATTAGTTAACGTTGGTTAATGCATTAACTAACAATGAGCAATACATCAGCTACAGGATCTGTGCATCTTTTCTGTTCATGTTAGCTCGGATCCATTAAATAAATAATATTAACCAATACAACTTTTGAATTTAATAATGCATTAGTGAATGTTGAAATTAGCAATAACAAAGATTAATAAATGCCTTAAAAAATATTTTTTGTTCTCATTATCATTATTCATGATTTAACAGTGAATCTAAAAGAACAGCAGACATCTGTTATGATTAGTAGTGTAACTCTCTCTCTCTGTGTGTGTGTGTGTTCAGGTCTGCAGCTGTCCATCTCTCTCTGTCACTCCACTGGAGAGAAGAAAAGCCAGAGAGCCTCACCAGACAAGAGCAAACCAGACGACCACCTGTATGTGTTAGAGCACAACCTCCACCAGCTGATCCGAGAGGTACACACGATGCCTCATCCTGCCAGCTCTCCGTTCGGTCACAAGCGCTTGCGTCTGGCGGGACCCATGGCCTACGACAAAGCAGAGATCAGCTCGCTGCAGCAGAGCGAGGGACTCCTGGAGAAGATCATCAAACAGGCCAAACACATCTTCCTGAGGAGCAGGTGACTCATGCGTGCACCGACATTTGACAGAAGAGTTCAAAACACAGCACAGTTCAGAGTGACTGATTCGAGGTGCCTTCCCACGTAGTGAAGATGATCTAGTAATCACATATGAATACAGTGGAGTCACGGAAGGCTGCGTCTGAACTGTCAAACCGGGTAAAGAAATGAGTGTTAGAGAGGCTATCCAAACAAAATACAAACAGAGATGTAGGGCTTTGTTGTCAGCAGCCATAATTAGATAATATTTAGTGTTTTTGTGCTGGTTTAGGCCTGTGGTGATCAGCTGACTCACATCTGTGTGCTGGTCAGTTCACACTGTGATATTTGACCCCTTATATTGATTTTCAGAGGCAGTTTCACTTTTATAAGGCATTTTTTTCAACCTTATTAGATGTGTGCATCACTTAGAATAACAAGACACTATAAAGCTGTTACCAATCAATTGAAATTAGTATCAGCAAAATCCAGAAACACTTAAAGATGTAGTGCATAGTAATTAATTTTTGTTGAATTTATATGTGCATGCCTTTATATAATATATATATATATATATATTTCAAGTCAAAGGTCTTTCATAA